ATTAGCATGTTAAATATTTCTTCTTGACATGATAAAACGTCTGTTATTACCACAAAGAACACAAAAAATAAAAAAAAAAAAAAACAAATAATTTATAAATATTTTGAACGTTGAACAACTTTTATTTGTATCTTTTTGTTATATTTTCTTAATTTATTTGGAATAAAATAAAAAGTATAATCTATTTATTTAGAGGCAGACAATTATGTATATGTTTGTGTATATTCGTATACATATAAATAGATTTTCAGATTGTAATATTATTCTTAATTCATTATACTCTCGGGTCTCTGGACATTATTTTCTTACGTTCTCATTTTTTAAGGATTTCTACGATTTTTTAATTCTTCTGCGTTAACAAAGTTTGTTTTAATATGATCTTCTTTTGAAATTTGTTTTTTTTTATGAAACGTAATTTAATTTCAAATTTCATTATGTATTTCTGACGAAAAATATAAGAACTGTGCGAACTATATGTATCCTTATTTAATTGTATCACACAGTGTCTAGCGCTTAAAACAACAGTATTTTCTTATTTAAATTAAATGGATCTGTACATAATTATTAACTATAAATTGGAACAGTAAGAGAGTGAAAAAAAAAAATTAAAAAAAATGTTGTAAAAGTTCATAAGGAAAAACAGGGAAAAAATTTTAAAATACTTTAAAATAAAACGTAATTGGTACATAAAAATTATTTATAAATTTTAAAATATTTATATATAAAATATTTGAATAAAACAAAAATTCCCTTAGAATTTTATATGGAAAACACAAACACATAAAATGTGGTGGAGAGCGAAATCATAAAATTAATATATTTAAGGGTCTGCACTTATGATAATGTATTGTCCAGGATTGTATAAAATTAAAATAAAAGAACAAAAGAGAGAAAAACAACAAACATAAAGAAAATTAATGTTTGAATTTTTTTTTGTTTATTTGCTTTTTCTTCTTATTTAAACAATTTACTTATAATGTTGTGTTAGTTTTATTACACAAACTCATCATAACATAATGAAGTTTTTCAGGAAAATAGAGAGAGAGAGAGAGAGAAAGAGAGCATGTAATGTCGCTAACCATACATACTTTTAAAATTCCATAGATGTAAAATATGAATAGAATGTAAAGAAATAAAGGAAAATAAATATTGTGTTTATGGGGTAAATTGCGCAGGCTTTAAACTTTTTTGTTTTTTGATGTTCTATTTTTGACTTTAAATTACTGGATTTTTTTTTCGAGTTTTTTTTTTTTGATTTTTTTTTTGTTTTGTCAAAATGTTGTTATACCATACGATCTTTTTTGTTAACCTAGCTTTCTTTTCACCCATATGACTACAATATAATTTCATAGAACATAAAAAACTTTCCTTTTCATTTATAATAATGAATCAAATAAATCACATTGTTTATAGACCTTTGAATATATTAATATCATATCATATGCATACTTGCCTCATTTAAACTCTATATATGTACATAGGTTTTGTGTGATTTGCTTATTTATGTTTTTCTTTTTTAAATTACTCATTCTTAGTACCCGCTAAATTCTTAATAGATCAGCCGAAATTCATAATAGATTCAATTTATTATAACTATGTAGGTTAAATTCTTATACGTATTAAAATAAATCTTATATGTTGATAATTTTTTTATCTTACAAGCATATTTAATTGAGTATACAGCTATACAAGTGTAACTGTAACATGAGTATGGTACTTCAATTGTAATTTCGCTGGTTCTTCTAAAAGACAAAATTCTATCATATTTGTGAACTTGAATATACATATCTAAATATAAGTTAACTTCTTAAGGCTTGAGATTGGAATACTTTTTTTTTGACAATATTAATGTTATAAAATATTCAACATTTATGTTTCTCATTTAAATGCATTCTCATTCGTACTCATCTATGTTTTGCACTACAATCAATTAAAATTATGAGATTTTAATGAAAACATTTCAGAGCTTCCCACATTTAAATTTTTTTATTGTACATTGCACATATCTCGGAAAATTTGTATATTTTTAAGCTAATGATATAATTTAATGATTTTTTCTTTCACTTTGAAAAATTCAATCCAAATAAGGTACACAATCATAGTTATAGTACACTATCAGTATTTAATAAAATGTGGTTTGAATATCAATAATATTTCTCGATATATTGAAGATACAATGTACTCTTCGTATACGTTACATGATACAAAATGCGAGTATATTATAATATACCATCATCATCACAATTTTATTTTCAAAAAGGAAGACAAAATAATCGCCAAAAATTTGAAATTTCTTTGGATAATTCTTCTTGAGAAAAAAAAAACATAATTATTTCAATATTATACGAATTACTTTTTGTATACATATACAGAAATTTTCAATCTGAATTATTAAATACTCACTAAAGTATAAAATTATTTTTTATAACGGTTAATAGTTTTTCTTCAAAATGTCAAATGTATAATAAAACTTTCTGTTCTCTCTTTCTCTCTCTCCCTATAGAAAAAAATTAAAATTGCATACTTGCAGGAGTTGTATGAAAATGAAAGATGACGATGCGATTTTTTTAAGAAGAGAAACATATAAAAGAAAGAAAACAAAAAAAAATATAAAAAAAAATTGAATTGAAACAGCACAGCACGCGAAACGTTGAGGATTAAGATACAGAAGTAAATGTGGATCTCTTATTTTTTTATGGTTTTTTTTTTTTTTCATTTTTGTAATGTTATTTTACTTTTATATTAATATTTACAGCTACATACATACATACTTCAAATTTATATTTAGTTTTGAGTTTCTTTTTCTATTTAAATATGCAGCAGAAGTAGATTCGAGTATAAATTATATTCATAATATTGAAAGTGTGAATATATAGAAATCTAAATCATATAACTTAAGTGGAAATTTGCAACATATTTCTCTTTTTTTATAGTAAAAACTCCTGTATCTCTATATATATAGGATAAGGTAGCATATCGTAGACGTGAAATGATGATAAGTGCAATATACCCAATATTATTTTTACGATAACACAGAAAATTTTATGTTAAATTTTAAAGTTTTCAATAGCTTTAGATATTTGTAAATCCAAAACAAGTCAACGATCCTTTTGTCGAGTTTATCAAAAAAAATCATCGATTACTCGTGAAGTTTTTCTCAAATAATATTTTGATTTAATATTTGTGTGTACTTATGTAAGTATAAATTTAATGAAATATTAATGTCTTTTTAAATGAGGTTGGGTAGCCTTATATTTAATAAGAACGTTTTTTCATTTTCTTGACACCTCCAGACTCACTTCTTTTAATGCATATTTTCGTTTTACAATATTGGTTATTTCATTTTCCATTGTTTTTTTTTCATATTTTTACTTCAGAATATCTCTGTTGTCTTTACCAAATTTAAATATAATAATTAATGTTTAAATTTGTATAGAATATTAATTAATATAAGCATAAGTTTCCCCCGACTTCTTGAAATTTTCATTTCGATGTTTTTAATTTTCTTACTCGTGCTTTAATTTTGGAAAATATGCTACATAGAGCTCCTTTCATCAGGAAAGTGAGCCTCGAGGCGTGTGTTTTAAGGGTGTGTTCCACACCTAGATTGGGTGGCACAATAAATCTTCATACGCCATCTACACTGTGATCCATTTGTACAATCTACATAAACAAAAAAACGTATCGTCGTCATCTTTTTTTTCTACCAACCCCTGTAAGTATGCAATTTTAGTTTTTCTCTTTTCTATAGAGACTGAAAACAATTTGATGTAAAATTGATTTCACATAAAATCCAAATAATACAAGAAATATATTGTGTATAAAATAATTTTATATAACTATATAGGTGTATAAGATTTTCTCTAAATTAGATTTTACTTTCAACAAATTTTTTGATTTTATTTTGTATTTTCGATTACGACGCTATTGCTACTGATTTTGTTTTTTAATTTCGATTTCTGTTGTGGCTTTATTTATGATTCCTTGAAACAAACTTTTGTATGATTCATCGGGAATAAGCATATCAATTCAATTACTAAATTAAAAAAAATGACACGATTGTAATTTATAATTTCTTTTGAATTTATTTAAAATGATTATTTTAAATTTCTTGATAGAGCAACTCAGCAAATCATTTCTTAATATGTTATAAAATAAACAAACTGTTGTTTCCGAATTAATATTTATATATTATTGTGCTACACAATAAAATGTTCTGCAATTCAAATTTGCTTTTTAAAAAAAATCGCAATATTGTGTATTTCAATTTTAATTTTGCTTTTTCAAAGAAGACTATTGAATAGTGAACGGCAAAAGATGGAAAAAACAAAACAATAAAATCAAATATCCTTTTTTTCTGAATAATTTCTATTCTACATATACACACATAGAAACAAAGTACATAATATTAAATTATCGTATGTTACTAACACAATTTTAAACAAAAAATATTCATTCTTTTTATAAAGGAACACAAATACATGTACAAATTTCAAAAAAAAAATATATTCTACTTACTTCTGTATTAGTATTGTATAAAAATTCAAAGAATTTCCAAAAAAAAAAACAATTGAAAAAAAAAAAACAAGAAAGAAAGAAAAAGGATAGAAAATTATGAACATTTTTTTACCTTTTCTCTTACTCTTTCTCTTTAATTCTCTTGTTTTTGTGAGAGTATTACCAAATTTTATGAAATTTCTTTACATTTTCGTTTTCAATTTCAAATAAGTTAAAAAGAATTTGAATTGTTTAAAAAAAATTTTAATGAAATTAAAAAATAGGAGAAATTTGATTTTACAATATATTTGAAATTTATTAAAAGAAGTTTGAAAATTTAAAAACATTAAATTTAAAATAAAAAAAAATTAAATTTAATGGGAATTTTAGTAAAATGTACTTGGCAACAATATCCATTTTTTCATTTTAATTTTTCTCCCGTTATACAAATGTTGTTATGATTATTTGTATTGAAGTTTATAATTTCAATTTTCCACTGTCACAGTTCTCGTAACTTTCGTTGAGTAAAAACATACAAAGAAAACAGACGGCATTTAAAATATTTGAAAAATAAAAAACTAAAAATGTTTCGCGGATAAAACATTGGAATTCCAAGAAAAAAAAAACAAATAAACAAAAAAAAAATTAAAAAACAATTCTGTGTGTTTTGAATAGATCAAAAGAAATTCTTTGTTTTTTGTTTTTTTTTTTTTTGTAGTATTTTGCACAAATTATTCCTACAATTTTATTGAAGTCACTTAAAAAAAAATAAAAAAATTCTGAGATATCAAAGTGGCATTTATTTAAATTTTCATTTTTTAACAAAATTTTAAAAAAAAAAAACATAGCTATATTTTTTCTTACATACAGAAATATTTTATTTAAAATAGGCTTGGAAAATTTAATGTTTATTTAAAAATTGTACAAGATTTGCATATTTCTTTTTTTACGTGTTATTTATTTATTTACTTTGGTATTTATTAACGTTTGTATATTTATAAATTCAAAAATTAAATAATTAAGAAAAAAATTTGATAAATTATTATTGAAAAAATTGAATGAGACCGTGGAATTTCAACATGGATTTTACAAAATTCATGAATAAATTTAATGAAATTGAAAAACAATTATCACCAACTTCATCATTACGTTTAAGTTTTGATAATATATCACCAGAATCAGATGAACCACCGGATATTAATAAAAAATTATTTGGTGTACCAGTACCACCATTTGTATCCGATAAAGTTGTATCATGGATTGAAGAAGGATTAAATGAGCCACCGATATTTTATAATGGTTTAAATGTTATGAAAAAGGTATTTTTTCGTTTTTTTTTTCATAATATATAAAATGAGTTAATTTATCTAAATTTATTAAAAATTTAAATTAAAAATATTGACAGTTTATTATTAAAAGAAAATTATTAAATTTAAAAGGATTAATGTTTATGCTTCATGAAATAAATATGAAAACAAAGAAAGTAATGTTCATTCGTAGATAAAAATTTTTAATAAAAAAACGTTTTATTTTTAAAACGAAAAGAAATTTTTTAATATTGTTCGCTATACAAATATATATGCACATAATATGTTGGTATATAAAGTTTATATATCAGAAATATACGAAAAAATAACACCCATTACCCCAGTTGAAGTGAAAACTTATAAAATCATTCTTTGTAAATGATTTAATCCTTATGTATTTACGTATGTACATATATGCATTCATATATGAATACTTTGTTATTATGTGTTAGAATAAATGAGTCACTCAACAATGAATCATAAATCTATATAACTTGTTATACAGATATATATATTCAATATATATATTGATTCATATTTCTACCTTGGTTATAATATTCTATATTCATGCGATTATATTTATCGTAGATATGCATGTATATACAAATATTTAATATAGAATGTATAATTGTATGTGAAAATAATTACAATAATTGTAATATGAATTAAACATAATGTTTTATATTGAAATTCACATATATAATTAAAATGTGATTAAAGGAAGAAATTTACCTTTATTTTTTTATTACTATTGTATAATGGAGATTTTTTTTCATTGCAAAAGTTGTAGACTTACAAAAATACTAAAAAAGAAAGGCCTCTAAGGGGTAGAAACCATATTGAAATTCAAATTGTTTTTAACCAGTAGTTGGGTTTTATTTTGAATCACCAATCAATCATTCAATTGACTTTATTACAAAAAAAATCTCAGAAGTTTTTAGATGCAAAATTTTAATTTACATAAATTTATATATAAAATTTATATATTTAAATAGTATATAAATTAGTTTATATATCACAGTTTTATAATTTTAAAATTAAATTGAAAGTTATATAAACTCATATTCTCAAAGACGCTTCGAATGTTATGGAAAGATTTTCGTAGATTTTACAATGACATCAATGTTATGGGGTTTTACAGTCCTAATAACAAAAAAACACACTGTTTTTGAAAAATATTGTATAGCTTCTTAAGCGACTAATCTTTCTAAGAGAACATGGGTGACGATATAATTTTAAAAATGAATCCAACTTTTGTGTTTTTGGTCATTCAACTGAAGTGTTGTGTGTTCGTCTAGCTATAACGTATTTTCTTTGTTTTCCATTCAAGAAACAAATTGTGCGATTTTGGTTTTAAAAGTCAAAAACTTAAGTGAATTCAATTGCCATATTGTCACTTATTGTAGTACCGAAAATATGACGTTTTCGTCTTGCATATTGGAAAACAAGATATTTTTACCGACCGTATTGTGTAAACAATAGGTAGGTTATGTGATGGCAACAAATTTTGCATATCGAGTTTTCGGTGGGAACGTACTTCTCCATAGTAGGGAAGTGTAAATAAACTATTTTTAGCAACCTGTCGGTCTGTCGGTCTGTCGGTCTGTGTGTGCACGCGTGTATCTCAAGTTCGGCTGAACCGATTTTGATGAAATTTTATATGTAAGTTTGTTTCCACCATGGCACGGATCGATCAACTTTTGGTATATATCAGGCCTCGGGAACTGTACTTTTTAGCGGGCCTGTTTTACATTTTTGAACATTTTGAAGAAAATATTCAACCGATTTACTTGAAATTTTATATATAAGCTCAGCTCGACCGTTCGCAAAAATTCGTATGTTTTGGAAGAAATCAGGCATCGGCAACTAGACGTTTACTACGGGCCAAACATACACTTTTGTGTATATAAAGAGAAATAATCAACCGATTTCATTGAAATTTAAAATATGAATTCCTCATATTAAAGCAATGAACATATAACTTTTTTGGAAAGATCAGGGCTCGAGAACTGATTTGCGGGCCGATTTTACATTTTTCATCATATCCACAGAACAAATTGATGGAATTTCTTGAAATTTGATATTTGAGTTCTGGTTGTTACCGAAAATAACTGGTGAGCATTTCAGGGAATTCGGGTAGCACAAAGCGAAACTCTACTAAGAGCCAAATTTACATTTTTCTAAGTATGTTAACTATAAGCTTGCTAATGTCCTAAAAATTGGAAAGAAGTATTTAACAGACATTTTTATAATATTCTGTAACACTTTCATTTAACTAGACAATACACAATGCGGTCGGTTATGTGCTGACCACATCAGATTTTTTCATTTGCATTCACAATATGCAAATTTTTTTATATTATAAATCCTCTAAATTTTTTATCTAATTTATATACTCGAAATTATATACTTTTTATATTAAGACTTCCTTAAATTTAAAAATTCTTTCTTCGTTTACTTTTTTTTTTTCATAATTAAATAAACTTTCAAATAATAAATTTAAAAAATTGTTTAACATAATAACCATAATAATTACGAATTAAAAGTCATTTGTTTTAAAATAAATTTATAGAAATTAATTTTTTTTTATATAAATTTCAGATTAATTATGGGTAATAAACCATTTTTAAAAGTACCAAGCAAATTTTATTTCGAATAATTTGTAAGAGAGAAAAAAAAAATTATTAATATTTGCTGTTATTATATAAGTGCGTGACTGATTGAATTATTTAAAAGAACATTAATAATAAAACATATTCATATAGGTTTATCATAAATCTTACACGTAAAATTCAAGCGAAACTATAATTTAATTTAATTTGAGAATATAGAAATTGAGTTTAACTTATGAGTCCACTTTAAAGAAAAATGGAACGCATAAAAAATTTATTTACTGACATAATTATTATATTAGATCATCAAATTTTATTATGAAAATTATAGAAAAAAATCGATTTCGGAAATCATGCCAAAATCTCAACCATATTCCAATTTTCCATTCATGTTGTACATACATATTTGAAATTTCTGATTCACTATATGTGTAACAATTAAAAATTAATTGATTTAAACAAAATATATGAAATACTTTCATTAAAAATGCGCTGATTATAAATAAATTATGCTAATCCTATATTAAATTGATTTTATTAATTAATTAACTAATAACATAAAAAATTATCAAAGAAAATAATAGATTTTAAGATATTTATAACTAGACGTTAGAAGGAAATAAATTTTTTGAGGTAAAATTTTGAATATAATTAAATTTTTATTATTTTAAGGATTATCTTTATTTGAATTTTATTTTAATTAATTAAAATAATCAACTAGATAAATCATTTATTTGAAATATAATTTCTATTTTTTGAAACCTTAAAGTTATTTTCCAAAGTTATTTAAACTAAATTGACAAGCACTTGCCCTTGAAATTAAAACACGAATTTATGACACTACCGTCACACCCTATTGCTATTCAAGTTTTTTGCAAATGTTTAGACTTTTCCAAACAGCTGCCAATATGCGAGTCTTCTTTAATTATGCTTTAAAATATTTAACCATAGACGTAATTTTAAAAATATTGATTGACTGCAAATTGTAAATTTTTCCAAATTTTTGGTTGTTTATTCGAGTTTGCTAATTTAGAAGCTTTAGAAGTTACAATATGAATTTTTACAAATACATATCAACACCAATTTTATTATATAATCCAATAAAACATTGTTTCAAAGAAACGCATATTTCAAATTTTATACTTTAAAATTGCATGCAATTTAATATGCACTTGTACTAATATATATATAAGAATATTAAGGATTACTGTTTATAAATTAAGAAATTGATGACAAAATTTAATTTTCCTATTGCAGGACATCTTTCTTTTTGTATTTTAACTGTATACTGCATTTTCCAATTAAAAATTTTATTTATTTTTTTTTCTGAAAAAATTTCCGATTTCTTTATGCAATTAATTTCTTATATGCAATTAATTTATTTTGTGAGTTAACATAATAAAAGAGGTTATGTCAAAATTTGGTTGTTTTGAGAAAATCGAGTTAAAAGATTGCTCTGCAAAAAAAAACCCTACTTTCCGAATTTAGGTATAAATTAATAAGTATGAAATATAAAAGGATAAAATAATTGTTTTTATATTTTGCTTATTTGTTTTTATATTTTGGGTTTGCTTTTAGAGTAATAGTATTTTTTCTTTAAAAAGCCGATTTTAATAAAATTTTTAAAGTATGATTTTCTCTCCTTGATTCGACTACTTTAGAAAGTGAAATTAAAGTCTATATTATAAAGATAAATTTGGATATGCAAAGTTTAAATATTGAAGATTTCGATTTCGTTCCAAGTCAAATTAAGTTGTTTTCCTGGAGATTTATCAATAATTTTTAATTTAAATTTTTTTTCAAAATATTTATTTTAACAAAATCTATGTGTATATTTATACCATTATAAGTATATACATATAGTACCTAACTATTAATATTCTAAAAGAAAAAATAAAAGTAAGAGTATTTCTTTTCCTGTCTAAATCTACATACATATACACACATATACGTTATAGTGTAAGTTTTTAAATGTATGCAATATACTTTAAGCATGTCACCGCCTTATACTGATATCTGCATTTATAATATAAGTTTTTCTAACCTAAAAGTATACTTGTATTTTACTTATATTAAATTTAAAAAAGTTTATAATATTTTGAGGAAAAAAAATTGTGTGTGTATAAGGGCAAAAACTTTTTAAGTTTTTCTTTTTAAAAAAAGAAAAAGTAATTATAAAATTATGGGTAGTATGGCAAGCAAATATTACCCTTAAGTTCTATATAGCCTGTGGCCCCGGTATATTTATAGTCCATACACATGTATGGACTATATATTATAGTATATACACATGTTAGGTATATTTTACAAGAGCATATGTGTAGGTTTATTTAATTTGTAAATTAATATTAAAATGGCAATTGAATTTTTACACTTAAGTAATTTTTTAAATTTTGTGGA